GACAGGGTTTCTCTGTGTAGCCCTGGCTGTCCTGGATCTCACTCTGTAGCTCAAGCTGGCCTCAAACTCACAGAGATCCATCTGTCTCTTCCTCCAGAGTGCTAGGATTAAAGGTGTGTGCCACCACCATTGCCCAGCTTCACTATTTTTCTTAGAGGAGGGCTCTGGCTTCTAAGGCAAAATGGATGGGCCCTGGGTATCTTGGTCCTTGTATATGACTCTAAACAGGTGACTGTCTCACTGAGTCTCAGTTTCCCCATCTCTAAAGTGAGAAGCCCATCTAACATTTGCCTTGAAGGTCTGTGAGTGAGCTGGGGCAGACAGCAGTGGAGATAACAACACTCAACAGGCAGCCAGGACCTCCCACACACGCTTGACCACACCCACACATGCACACACATGTAGTGGAAAGGCCAGGAGCAGAGCCACCTTCTACCCAAGCCTAGTCCACAAATTGCAGGGCAGGAGGGTTCCAACCATGTGATAGTGTGCTTAGGATGTGGCCAAACTGTGTTGGGGACCAGCTCTTTGTGATGGGGGTGAAATCGTGAAAAGACGGGAGGCAGGGAACCTGTCACCTTTCAGAAATCCTAATGGCTATGACTGCCACTTGTGAACCATTCCCAATGGAGTGTGTGTGTTCAGCAGGGACAGAATGGATCCCTGGGCCAGACCCCACACCACACAGGGCTCCGTCTCCCATCTCCCACACACCCTAGCCAGCAAGGATACCTGGAGAAACTTGTCCTTGGTACCTTGCAGGGAAACTGTCCCTGTCCTCTCCATGCCTCCATAATTAAGGTAACATCTGCTTCCCAAGGAGCAGAATAGAATAGATCAGTAGCTAAATGGATGAACAGTGAAGCAGAACAGGCTGCCACCAGCTGCCACCGCTGGGAGGGGTGCAGGGGGGCCTCTCTGGGAAACTGCTGCTTCTTGTCATCTCTTCAAAGGCCCCCTCTGCCTGGGCCCACCCCTACCTCCCCACAGCTCCCTGAAGAAGAGGGTCCCTCCCCCATTTCCTTCCTTCAGGGCTTGCAGTTTTCTGGGTCCCTCACAATAAGAAAACAATATATATGAGCCCCTAAATGCTGGAGCATGAATGAGAAACAAATTAAACCCAAACCACCTCCCCTACCACACACAAACACACACTCACAAAGCTGTGTGACCTGGCAAGTGTCTCTACCTCTCTGAACCTATCTCTCCATTGTAAGATAAGGGTACTCCTAGGACTCGGGATTCTCTGCAGGGTGCTAAGTGTTGGCACAGCAACTGCCCACAGAAGACCTGGACACAAGAGCGGACCTGGCTCCTCACCACAGCCGCGTGGGATGGTTCAGCTGGCCCTGCAGAGGCACTTGAAAATACCCTTCCTGTTCCCACCCACAACATTGTTATTGTACTGCCAAGATGTTTAGTAATTATAAAATAACCAAACAAGAAAATTCGGACAAGAGGGAATACAAGGAGAGGAAGTACCCACAACCCACAGTCCTGCCACCGACCACCCCACCCGGTTGGTTCCCTTCTCTGCCTGCTTTGCAGCCTGGATCTGAGCATCTGGGAAACTGCTGTTTACACTCAGTATGGTGTCCTGGTCACCTTCTAGGACACTGCCAACTTTGGTACCCATAGTATTCCTTAGCCAGGCCCCACTGTGCCTCTAACCCCCCACAAGGCTGATACCAGCTCTGTGGACAGTGGAACCTAAGGATGAGAGCCTGGGACACAGTAAGGCTGCAGACTGAGGGTGGCCCCGCCCCTTGAGCCTTGGGCCTTTTTCCTCTGCAAAAGAACAGGCACTGTCAGAGTTACCTGGGACTGGGGACTGGGTGATGGATGGGTTCCCCAATGGCTGGCCCAGGCACGTGCGTGCACGCGCACACACACACACACACCTTGCAACCTAGGTGTTGAGTTCTTGTCCTGATTCCTTTAGTTCTGTCTGCATGGCAGGGATAGCATCATACGGGAACCCTGAACAGCAGCTGTTAGAGGTCAGTACAAAACAAGGTGATTCCTAGTTCTGTCTGCATGGCAGGGAACCCTGAACAGCAGCTGTTAGAGGTCAGTACAAAACAAGGTGATTCTGTGTGGTGCTGGAGACTAGGAACCTCTCCTCTGAGACCTGACCAACAGCTGAGTGTGGGGTAGAGGGACTAGATGAGATAGCAGCAAAGATGAAGGCTCCAAGGGCACAGGTTGGGCCTGGGTGAGGGCAGGTGCTTGAGGAGCTGTGGTGAGGGGTGAGGGTGGGAGGGTCTGAGCCTCTAGGCAGTCCCAAGGGCCAGGGCAAGGAGTTGAGCCTTAGGCAAGCTTCAGGGTGTCCTCCGAAGTGGCTTCAAGAGACCAGACCATCTAGCTCCATCTCCAGATCATCTGGCACTGGCTGAGGGATGGGTGCAAGCAGCATAAGAATTCCTGGGGACAGTGACCACATGGGAAACAGGGACAGGAGGGACTGTAGGTCCCTGACCTAACTTCTAACCCAGCGGGCATGTGGACAAAGTCCCTTTCCCCCCCAAAAAAAGAGTTCTCGGTCATCAAGAGACAAGTGGGCTCATTTTGTGTGGTAACAATTCTTTTTTTAAAAAAGATTTATTTATTATGTATACAGTGTTCTGTCTGCATGTATACCTGCACACCAGTAAAGGGCACAAGATCTCATTACAGATGGTTGTGAGCCACCATGTGGTTGCTGGGAATTGAACTCAAGACCTCTAGAAGTTCAGCCAGTGCTCTTAACCTCTCTCTGAGCCATCTCTGTAGCCCTACGTGTGGTAACAATTCTCTAACAGTACACAACACTGGAGACTGGTCAGAATGCCATTATCTGTGACCCATTACTGAGGTCTGCTACACAGTGGCAAGGTGCTTCCTGCAGGGAGGGACAAGCCTGAATCAAGCAGCCAGGAAGCTCGGGGAGAGGGGTGGGCACTGGAGGAACTCCCAGCTTCAGGCCAGGTTGGGGCTCAGCAGGGCTGGACCTAGCAGGGGGAACTCAGACTGCATAGCCTTTACCCACGGTGGGAGAGGGGTTTAGCAGAAGCCTGCATTTCCAAGTGCTTGCTCCACAGAGCCCAAGGGCTGCCAGCAGGAGGCAGGGAGATGTACAGACAGCAAAGCTAGGAAGACAGCATGGAGACAGGCTCAGAAGCACGGGCCGCTGAGGCAGCAAGACCTGGAAACCCCTGGGATACTCGGGAGGAAGTGGGTAAGTAGTAATAACCAGAGATGGATCAGCCCCTGCCCTTCTCCACCCCCACCCCCAACTCCGCACAGTGTCAGCTTCTCCCCACACCACCACTTCCTTGCCAGAATCCAGCCAGCTCATGGGCCTGGCTCTGCCCACCTAGCCAGGTCTTCAGTGAAAGCCAACAGAGCCAGGAAGGCTGGCCACGGCTCTGCCTTTCTGCAGCAGGGAATCTGATGTGCAAGTTTAGGGAACAGTCCCAGAGGACGTGGGTTCTTCTCCCCTCAAAAACAAAGGTCTCTAAGCTCACCCCACCTCCATTCCCCCCCCCCTTCACAGTGAGACCCTCTCCTGTCTGCCTCATATTACACTGTGACAGACATAACCTGCTGCTCACTTCCGCCTAGGTCCATAGCAGGCATCACTAGCTCATTGCAGATTTCATTAATTCCTCACTGCTGAACTTTCTACCTGCATTGTCACATGCCACTTTAGAATCTTTCTTAACACAGTGCTTCAGATAGCCGCTACAGACTGATAGGAGATTCTCTCCTCTCTCAATCTCTCTCTCTCTCTCTCTCTCTCTCTCTCTCTCTCTCTCTCTCTCTCTCTCTCTCTCTCTCCTCTCTTCTCTCTCTTCTTCAAGACAGGGTTTCTCTGTGCAGCCCTGGCTATCATGGAACTCACTCTGTAGACCAGGCTGGCCTCAAACCCAGGAATCGGCCTGCCTCTGTCTCCCGAGTGCTGGAATTAAAGGCCTGCACCACCACTGCCTGTTCATCTAGTATTTTCTAAAACAGGCAACTGAGCCCCAGAGCAGGGAAGAGTGTTCTTGAGGCCCAGAGTGATTCTGTGATGAAGCCAGAACTGGATCTCAATCTCCTGACTTGTATCTCATGTGTGATGAGCAGGGTTTTCGATTAGCCAGCTGGATCATTTTAACTTTATGTGATGAGTGTTTGCCGCTTGTATGTCTGTGTTACCACATGTGTGCCTGGTGCCCAGAAAAGCATGCTGGAACTAGAGTTACAGACAATGGTGAGCTGAGATGTGGATGCTGGGAATGTAACCCAGGTTCCCTGGAAGAACAGCCAGTACTCTAGCAACTGAGCCATCTCTCCATCCTCTGGGCTGAGTCTTTTTTTTTTTTTTTTTTTTTTTTTTTTTTTTCAAAAAGGGGTTTTTTTGTGGGGTTTGGGGCCTCAAACTCACAGAGATCCTCCTGCCTCTGCCTCCCGAGTGCTGGGATCAAAGTCGTGCACCACCAACGCCCGGCTGGGCTGAGTCTTAATGGATACCACAAATTGGGGCTGGGGAGATGGCACTGCCGGCTAGATACCTGCCAGGCAAGCATGAGAATCTGAGTCTGGGTCCCCAGTACACATGAAAAATGCCCATGTGGTGGCATGCACTTATAACCCCAGTACTGGGGACATTGAAGAAGCAGAGACAAGGGCTCTCTGGAGCAATCTGGACAGTCAGCCTAGTCAGATTGGAGAGCCCTAGGTAGCAGTGAGGGACCTTGTCTTAAAAACAAATTGGCCAGGTGGTGGTGGTATGTGCCTTTAATCTCAGAACTTGGGAGGCAGAGGTAGGTGAATCTCTGTGAGTTCCAAGCCAGCCAGGGCTACATAGTGAGGCCCTATCTCAAAACAAACAAACCAGGGAGAAGGCTAGAGTGATGGCTCCATGGTTAAGAGCACTTACTGTAGAGAAGCAAAGCTTGGTTCCCAGCACCCATGTGGCAGCTCATGGGTACCCATAACTCCAGTTCGAGGAGACCCAATCCTTATTCGGACCTCCACAGGAACTGCATGCATACGGTACACATATGTACACGCAAGCAAAACACTCAAAGAAAATAAAAAACAAATAAATCATTATAAAGGGTAGAAAGAATCCACAAAACAAACAACAAACCAGGGGAGGAGTCACTGTCCTCCCCAGCCTGTTCAGTGGGCACTGCACAGCCCCGCATGACCGGGTGTGGATGTCTGTCCGTCCCCTGGACCCCTCCCTGTCCCACAGCCGTCCACCTGGGCCCCACACCCACCCCAGCACTCAGCAGCTTTGTCTACTCACCACTGCTGTACTTCCTTCTCGGTGACTGCAAGAGAAAAGAAGATGAAACGTTAGACAGGAGTCCCGGGACACAGGCTTTTTCGGGGGGCTCCTCCTGTCTCCTTACCACAGGCTGCCTGCCCCTCATGACTGCCAGCCCTCTCTGAATAAGAAAATGCGCCCCTAGTGAACAGTGGGTGAACAATCTCCACAGGCGCTCAGCCCAGGAGAAAACAGTATGCCCTACCTTCCCCAGGGCCACCTCCCAAACACCTTCAGACAGCGGGTCCCCTCCCTGCTCAGGAAGGCTGCTTAAGGTACATTCTTTCTGCCAGGTATGTGACTCGTGTCTTTAATCCCAGAACTTGAAAGGCAGAGGCAAATAGCTGAAAGCCAGGCAGAAAGGATGTCCACATCCTTTCTCCGCTCAGTCCTAGGACAGGAGAGCCAGAGTGGATGTTGCTTCCAGGCCTGGGATGGGGCAAGGAGCTTCTCAGAGCCCAGCACCCCAACCTCCTCACTGCCCTGCAGCCCTCTCGGTGGACAGTCCAGGTCTTTACTCTCAAGATATGACTGGACTGGAAGCTGAAAGGAGCTACATAAGTGGCTGAAGCTCAGCCAAGCCCAAGTCTTTACTGAACCACAAAATGAATGAAACCATCATTTTTTTTTTTCCTGCAAAGTATTGAATCAGTCTACAAGTCCATGTCAGGCAGCAGGAGAGAACGGAGCTGGGATATCTTCCCAGATCACAGGCTCAGGGAGACCCCTCTCCAAGAAGTGATCCAAACAAATGCAAACATAGCATCTACTAGCCTCCAGGTGCCATCTGTGCAGTGACTCAGCCACACCCCCAGCAGTCCCCAGAGAGCAATTTTCTGGCCTGGCTCCAGGTGGGCATAGCAAGCTACAAGAGGCCGAGAAGCAGCAGGTAGGGCTTCAGACCTGAGGTCTTGGCTGGGGACCCATGGTGGGAAGCCTGGATTGGTGCCTCCTCGCTCACCTGCACCCTTCCCTGTGGATCCTGGGAGCCACTAACCCAGAGCAGTAAGCTAATAGAGACTGGCCGGGCAGCTACATTTCCAAGAGCAGATTCTGGCAGATGTTACAAGGTAGGAGGTGAGGCATGGGAATGCAGAGGGGAGGGGACTGAGGAACAACCCAGCTATTGTCCTACTCTGGTTTCTGTTGCTGTGACAAGATACTGAGCAAAGCAATCTGGAGAGGAAAGGGTTTGTTTCCTCTTATAGCTTACACAGTCCATCAAGAGGGAAGTCAGGGCAGGAACTCCAGGCAGGAACCTGGAGGCAGGAACTGAAGCAGAGGCCACTGCTAAACTGGCTTCCTCTCCAAGATTTGTTCAGCCTGTTCCCTTATACCACCCAGGACGCCCTGCCCAGGAATGGTGCTACCCATCATGGGCTGAGCCATTCCACATCAGCCACCAATCAAGAAAATAGCCAAACATTTGTCTACAGGCCAACCTGATGGAGGTGTTTCCTTAGTTGAGGTTCCCTCTTCCCAGATGACTCTAGCTTATATCAAGTTGGCAAAAACAAACAAACAAACAAACAAACAACCAGCCCACCAGGCTAGGCTGTGCTGAGCTGCCCTGGACCTGCCACCCACACCATCTCTAGGTGTAGCTGATGCAGACGGAGGGACCTCAGGGCTCTGGGGCCAGACCTGAACACCTGAGCTCCAGGCCAGGCACAAGGCTTATGAGCTGGGTGTGGCTCAGAAGATGGCTTCCCTCTCTAAGCCCTGATTTCCTCATCTATAAATAGGCTTGCTGCCTTTCGTAAGAATCCCAAGGATAGTTGGGACAGCCCTACCTGTCAGGTCTACTTATTGTGCTGTATTGTGCTTATTACCAGAGGTCACTGTCCCAAGAGATGGGTGGTGCCTATAGGGCTCAGAATACATTGCTACTTCCAACCTTGAGTCAGCCAATGACTTCATGTGACCTTAGCAAGAGTGGCATCATGGACCATAAACAGCAGGAGGCAGTGGCAAAGGCTTGAATGGCTGGGCCTTTGGTGACCTCAGCTAGATCTCATGAGGCCAGAGAAGCAGACCTGGGAACCCTGATGCTTCAACTTCCCGCCTTCAATCTTCCAAAGCCTGCCCGGGACTGCCACCTGGCAGAGGGCCCTCCCTACCCTCCCTAGCCCATCACAGCTCCAGAAACTGCAGATGGTTTGGTAGGGTATAGTCTGCTGTTCTTCACCAGAATTGTCCCTAACATAGGAGATGAGTGACCAGCAGGCAGCCAAGCCTCTGGGTTGTGGAATGGGGTTGAAGAAAAAAGCCTTACTTAGTTTTAAGCAACTACTTTAGCTTTGTGACACTTGAAACTTCCAAGTGTCCCCTGCCTCTGAGATTCCTAGAGCTTCAGAGGACCCTGGAGGGTGGCAGTCAGGGAATCTTTCTGGGACCTGGCCACCCAGCCCAATCCTGGCAGGCCTATGTCACCACAAGTTGAGGTGTGTACAGCCTACACTGGGAAAATCAGTGTAGGGAGAAAATCAGACAGAGGGAGACACCCTAGACACGGGCAAAGGGGTCCCAGTAGTCACAGCTGCTCCTATGTTTTGCTTTGAGGAGCTGCCCTGTCACTTGTCCCAAGATTCACTGACTCTCTAAACTTTTTAAAGATTTATTTTTATTTATATGTATGTGGGGGAGGGCAGTCAGAAGAGGGTGTCAGGGTCTCTGAAACAGGAGTTACAGGTTGTGGTGAGCTACCATGTGGATGTTGTGGATAGAACCTTAGGACCTCTGGAAGGGCAGTACTCTTAACTTCTGATCCACTGTCCGACCGTGGATTCCTGTTTCATTGTCTCTGTTTCTGCTCACTTTTCTAGTTTTCCCCTACTCTAAGCAATATTGTCCACAAAACTCCCTGAGCCATGTGCTTGAGCTTAGTTTCCCAAACACAATAAAAAGTAACTACTAGGTAATGGTGGATGTCCTTCTGTATATATGTTTCTCTTATTGGTTGGTGAATAAAACACTGTTTGGCCAATAGAGACTGGGAAGATAGGACATGCCAGGCATTCTCTGGTAAGATTAGACCATGTAGAAATATGCACACTAGTAGTTATGGGTTAATAATTAAGACAAACCTAGCCAATAAGAAGCCCTAGCCTAGCTTTATAATTAATATAGTGTCCATGTGTTTATTTGGGGCTGAAAGTAGACAGCAGGAGCAGGCAGGACAAGAAAACTCCAGTAACAGCTAGGATGAGTGATGACCTTTGCTCAAGGTCATGTAGAGAGATGACAAGGGTTGGGTGCTGAGAGACAGATCAGCCATTAAGAGCGCTCACTGCTCTCACAAAGGACTTAGCTTTGGTTCCCAGTGCCCAGATAGTGGCTCACAACTGCCTATGTCTCATTCCACAGGATCTGATGCCCTCTTCAGACCTCCATGGGCTCCTACAATAAAAGATGACATTTGGTGCCCTAGATTGAGCACAATTAAGGACATGTTACCCATGGCACTCGCCTGTCAAATGGCCCTGAGTCTAATCAAGAAGCCATAATTGGGCTAATTTGGAAAGTGGCATCGATGATACTAGACCATCAGTCCTGCACCTTCAAATCAGAGCCACTAAACCCCAAGGAAGCCAGAGGAAGATTCTTGGGAAAGAGGCTGAAGAGTCACCCAGGCGTAAGTCACCCACACTGGGCTGGGGTGGGGTGGGGTTGGGGGTCAGGAGAACAGATGCTGATGTTGCAGAGCCTCAGAAGATAGCACTGTCCTGGGAGCCGCGCCCAAGTGCTTAAAGGTAAAGACTGGGGTGCTGTTTAATAAAAGCAGAGAAGCAATGCCCCTGGGAGGAAGCTGGCTGGGGTGGGGCAGGGGCGGGAAATGGGGTGGAGCATTCCTACACTGCTATATTCACAAATTTCAAAATAAAAGCTGAAGGGAATGACTCTTCCCCCAGTCTGTGTGCCCCCCACAATGTATGGAGGGCCAGGAGGCAGCCTGGGGTCCTATGCACCTAGGACCAGATCACCACGGGCACTTGGAAAGAGCAGTTTCCCTCTGCCTCAGCCTTGGGACCAGATACAAGGGGAGCTTCCCAGGATGCAGCTCCCAGGATGCAGCTCCCAACTCCTCCCATCCCCCTTCTTTCCCCTCCTTCTCACCAAGCCTCCAACCAACTGTGAAATTAGCAGGGCCTCCCGCCTCTGGCTTCCCTCTACAGATCCATGCTCAGGGCTTAGGACTCAGTGTTCAGAGGCTCAGGCTCAGGGCTCAGGGCTCAGGGCTCAGGGTTCAGAGCTGAGAAGTACCAGTGATCATATATTGGCAGCCCCCAGCCAACACCCCAAATCAATGAACCTACCCAAGCTCCCAATGTCTCACCCTTGGTCACCAAAGGACCCATGTCCATCTTCCACAGCTGTGGTTGTTTGAATGAAATGGCCTCATTGGTTCATTGGGAGTGGCACTATTAGGAAGTATGGCCTTGTTGGAGGAAATGTGTCACTGGGGCTGGGTTTTGAGGTTTCAAGTGTTCAAGCCAAGCCCAGTGTCTCTTTCTTCATGCTGCCTGTGAATCTGGATGTAGAACTCTCAGCTATTTCTCCAGCACCATGTCTGCCTGCATGCTGCCATGTTCCCTGCCATGAAGAAAATGGACTAAATCTCTTGAAACTGTAAGCCAGCCCCCATTAAATTCTTTCTTTTATAAGAATTGCCATGTTCATGGTGTCTCTTTACAGCAATACAACACCGATTAAGACAGCAGTTGGTACCAGGGACTGGGGTATTGTGATGGGCCATACCATGTTTTTGCTTGAACTAGAAAAGTAATTGGACACTTTAAACAGAGCTCAATGGGCCATGTTAGTAGGATCATGGAAGACGGTGTTGAGGTGGGGGCCTGGCTCAAAAGGTTTCAGAGGAGAAAAATATCAATATGTGGCCTAGAGACTGTTTTTGTGATATTCTGCTAAAGAATGTGGCTGCTTTCTGCCCTTCTCCAAAAATATCTGCCTGAGGCTAAATTGAAGAGTTAGGGATTAACAGCTTTGGCAGAGGAGATTTCCAGACAGCCTAGTATTGACTGTGTTGCTTGGTTATTAATGGCCAGTCCTATGCAGATCTATAACAAAAGGGACAAGGTGGACAATGGAAAATACAAAATGTACAGTTTGAGGAGAAAAGCGGCACCAGGAAGTGAAAACAAATCAAAGAAAATCCTGATGCTAACTGGCATAAAGGGAGAGGTGCCTCAGAGCAAGACCCCACCCAGCTAAATTTCCATCTTGTGAAAAGGAATTGAAGAGAAGCTTAGGGCCAGCTTGGTACACCTTTAATCCCAGCACTCAGAAGGCAGACGCTGACAGATCTCTGAGTGGACAGCCTTGTCTACAGTGGGAGTTTCAGGAAAGCCAAGCTTAGGCTATGAGGGTACCCATCGAAAACAGAAAGCTGGTGAATATGTGATTGAACAAGGGGACCATGTTCCAGCCCCAGCAAGCAGCAGAACTTGGCAGCCTCAGCCTCCTGGCTCTGGCTTTAGAGTCAAGGATAGAAGAAAGGGGTCATGGATCCTCCCTCCACAGCTAAGGAAAGCCGCTGAGGCCAGGCATGTGTCAGGGGTCTCCCTGCATGGCAGCGTAGAGAGGCCATTGTGTGACGCTGTGAAGGTGAAGCCTAGATTGCCTTGGAGACTCTAAGATGTTAGAGATGCCACAGCCATGAGATACCTGCTGAGGAGAGCTGCTAACAGGGAGTGGAACCAGCCCAAAAGAGAGAAGTCTGTTGCAGTCAACAAAGCTGAACAGAGTTGGAGATCTGAAGAGACGTTTGACATTAGACACGGAGATGCAGAGTTTGGAGTTTACCCAGTTGGCTTTTGGTCTTGCTTTGGTCCAGTATTTCCTCACTATGATCCCTTTTCTCTCTTTTGGAACAGTAATGTATATCCTGTGCCATGGTATGTTGGAAGTATGTGATTGCTTTTTTGTGATTTCACAGAGATTGCCATAATTGCCATGAGTCTCAGAAGAGACTTTTGAACTTTTGTTTAGTTGGTTTTTGGTTTTGTTTTTCAAGACAAGGTTTCTCTGTGTACACCTCTTGCTGTCCTAGAATTAGCTTTGTAGACCAGGCTGGCCTTGAACTCACAGAGATCCACCTGCCTCTGCCTCCCGAGTGCTGGGATTAAAGGCGGTGCACACACCACCACTGCCTGGCTTGATTTGGAGCTTTTAAACAGTGTGGAGACTTAATAGATTATGGATGAGAACTTTCGAAGTTGGACTGAATGCAGTTTTGCATTATGATATGGCTACAAGTGTACAGGGGCCAGGGAGTGAAATGTGGTGTTAGAATGAAATGGTCCCCATAGGCTCATAGAGAGTGGCACCGTTGGGAGGTGTGGCCTTGTTGGAGGAAGTGTGTCACTGGGGATGGGCTTTGAGGTTTCAAATGCTCAAGCCAGAACCAATGTCTGTCTCTTTCTACTGCCTGCCAACCCAGATGCAGAACTCTTGACTTCCTCTCCAGCACCGTCTACTTGCATGTCACCATGCTTCTCACCATGACAATAATGGACTAAAACCTCTGAACTGTAAGCCAGCCTCAATTAAATAAATGCTTTCCTTTGTAAGAGTTGCCATGGTCATGGTGTCTCCTCACAGCAATAGAAACATTAAGACAACAGCCCTGCTGAAACCCGCTCTCAGCAAGCCCCTGACCCTTCCACGACCCTCCATAGGGACTCTGTCCCTCCAGTAACACCCCAGCACATGGCCAGTCGGAGGTCCAACCAAGTCAGGACAGGGTGGGGAGGACAAGGAGCCAAGAGGGAAGAACAGCAAGTTCTCTTCCCATCGGACACAACCCCGGGGCTCTGTCGCCATCGGAGCCAGCCCAGCTCCTGGGCTGGGGCTTGAACTTCCTAATGTGTATTTTGTGTAAGTGCACCTGCCTTGGGCTGACTTTCTTTCCCCAGCACGTTCCTGTGGCCAGATCAGGAAGCACTACTAATGGCAAAGCTTTTGACAAACACCAGCTGTGGGGCACCCTGAAGGGTGCGGTATCTTTTGGTCAAGACCCTGTTGGGGCTACTTGTAGGCTGGGTTACTTCTGAACAAGTTGTTTGGCCTCTCTGGACCTCGGAATCTTCATCTCTAAATCAGCATATAAACTCCCAGCAGGATCCTGAGAAACAGTTCCTTAGAATCCTGCAGTTGGAGGGCTGGAGCACAAAGCCATGAGGAAGGAGGGTGCTGGGCACCCACCTCCTTCCACTGGCCCCAGTGAGAGCCAGAACTGCAGAGGGAGAGAAATATCCAGGCCTCCTCCTCCCCCTCCCCCCCCCATCAACACCACCTCAGGCCTGCTGACACCCTCCTATGTCCCCGTCTAAGTAGGGCCGCCCAGAGTACCCAGTGCCTCCTCCCACTCGCAGCAGCTCCTGAAGCTCCTTCAGGCTCCTCCTCCTCTCCACGCAGCTCTTGTCTGCCAGGAGTGAACACAAGAGCCGGTCCCAGGAGCCCAGGATAAACGTTGAGTCTGATTTTCATTTCCCTAAAGCAAAATACCTCTCTCCTGATTGAAACTAAGCTCAAACATGGTGGGAACAGAACGCTAGAGCTGGCAGTCCCCACGAGGGGAGGGGCCTGCGGTAGCAGGAGGGGTGGAAGGCAGACTGCCTGCCAGCTTCCTGTGGCCAATCCGGATCCCACTTCAGTCTCTAGACACAAGGACTGCCCCCTGGGTCACCCACCCTGCCCAGGGCATTAGCAAGGGGGGCTTGGGAGATTACACAAAAGAGAAAAGAGGCCCTTGGGGGCCTGGCCTTCCACCCCAGTCTCTCCAATCCTGATGCCTTCATCACCAAATAGTCTCTCTCCAGAAGGGCAGTGGGCCTTCCTGTGCTCAAGTGCTGGAGCATTTTCCAAATACCCTCACAAGCCCTCTGGGTCAATCTGGGCCCCACACACTCCCGCCCCATCCAGGCTCAGTATTTATCCCCCACCCCCACTCCTATTGACTGTCTCACTGTAAACACCCCTGCCATGGTCATGGTCTTACAGTCCCCTCCTGGGTCCAAGAATAAAGCTCAAAGATCTCCATAGCCTGCCCCCTCCCTTACCCCTATTCTGGGTCAGTTCTACACAGACAACCCCTTTCCTTGTTGCCCACTCTGCACGGGGGTCCCCCTGCAACCCTCCTCCAGGTGTGTCTATTCTGGTTAGTTTTTTTTATCAACTTGGAATAAACTAGGGTCATCAATTGAGAGCTGTAGGCAAGTCTGTGGGGCATTTTCTTAATTAATGATTGATGAGGGAGGGCGGAGCCTATTGTGGGTGGTGTCAGCCCTGGGCACACTGTCCTGGATGTATAAAGAAGCAGGCTGAGTAAGCCATGAGGAGCAAGCCAGTAAGCAGCACCTCTCCATGGCCTCTGCTTCAGCTCCTGCCTCCAGGTTCCTGCCTTGCTGGAGTTCTTGCCCTGTAGATGAATGGATGTAAGCTGTAAGATAAAATAAACCCTTTTCTCTCCAGGTCGCTTTTTATCACAGTGACAGAAAGCAAACTGGGTTAGTGCTAATGACAGAACTTCCTCAGAGAAAGGGGACATGTCTGACCTACTCTGCTACACCAGCTAAGTCTGTACTCTTCCACCCTACAGATAGTGCCCCCATTCTCTCAAGGAGAATCTCCTAGAATGTAATCACTCACCCTCTCTGGGCCTCACTTTCCCAGTCTGAAAGTGAGGCAACTTGGGCAAGAGAGGGTTAAACTCCATGTGCCTCCCTCTGGGGCTAGTGAACAACCACCTGGCTTTCCAGCCCCCTTTGCTTCACTGGGTGACAGGGAGGTCCTGGCAGCCCACCCTGGCTTCTAGCTCAGTGAATAATCGTAGCCCTGGTGCTCCCCTCCAATCCCAGGGAAAGGCTCCAGAAAGTCCCCAGATGGATCCCTGCCACAAGATGACCAGTCCTAGAAAGTCAGCAGGGTCCACTAAGAGCATTCCCCAGAGAAGAGAATGGACAGGACAACAGCTTCATGTCCTGAGAAGAGCGGAGGGCCACCATGGGGACCAGAAGGTGGGCACTGTCCTGAGAGGAGAAGGGGACCCAAAGGTGGGCATAACTCTGATATGTTGGGACCTTGCCTTGCTCTAAGCTTCAGCACTGGGAATCACTGGCTCCAAGCAGACAGACCTAACATGACAGCACTTGCAGAGGGCCTGGCACCAAGCCGGAACGCTACTGTGATTACTACCCCACGCCTCTGCCAGAGGAAGAGAGGCAGAGCTCCTGCCCTACCCATTGCTCGTCCCCCAAAGAGGTCAGAGACTGACTCTGCCTAGACATATGCTGACCCCACCCAGAATCACTGGTCCCTCACTCAACATGACACAGAGAGCAGGACTCCTGGATCAACCCTCTGCAGGCCCCTCCTGGAACAGGGTGGCAACAGCCCAGCCTCCGTCTGGTAGGCGCTATTTCTACTCATATTAGTTGTGCCAGCCCACCTGGGCGGCTCAGGG